ACCTGATAGACCAGATGCTTCTGGGCAAGATGCAAACAGTGGTTAGAAACAATTCACAACAATTGATTGGAGATTACAGCTGAATACTTGAAGAGACCTGATGATTTTTCGGCCTTGTTTTATAGTCAAATGAATTCAGTATATAAGTTCTTTCAAGAAAATCGTCATTTATTCAGAGGAAGAGATGGGAATAAATATGTTCTTTCTGCTAATAAACACCGTGGAAGACGTGTGGTGGTATGGGCTTTTTCGTTTTTATTCCTCAGGCACTGGTGACCTTTGTATTGTAGTAGGATCATTGCATGCTGAAAAATAAGAAGACATTTTGCACTCTCATGTTACACAGTTGTAGAAAGCTTACTAGACAAATGTTTATATTCCAGCAGGATATTGACCCTAAGCATTCTGCAAACTTTACAAAGAAATTTCAACAAATAACTTGAAACTCATCATGATGTTGTGGATGGGCTGAAGGCTGTTGCAGAGAAATACTCTATAGCTGACTACAAAGCTTAACACTCTGTGTGTCGATGAATTTGGGGAAAATAGGGGGAAAAAAAGCCTCCTGAAAGATATCAGGTACCATTTTCAATATACAGAAAAATACTAAAACATGTAACAGAAAGAGAGGGTGGCATAGAACATAAACAAGGGCTGCACACATACTGTATTGGTACATACTATTTTTCTCCATGTGCATTAGTGTAATAGTTATTCTTTACTTTTAAAGCAATATTTCTCATTTATCTTTTATTAACACAGAAGTTTTAGAAGTCACTTCTTCTATAGTCAGCCTAAATTAGTTTATTGCAGCTATACAGGACTATACTTTTTGTCTGATACAAAAAATAAGAATTATAACCAAGCAACTGCTTTTGCTGGTGAGTGTTATGGCAGATTCTAATACAATTACGTAAAAATAAAGACAACTTCACTGCTATAATTATCAAAAAAGGAACATATTTCTTCAACTTTAGATCTGTAGCAAAATGTATTCCTTTTTCCCAAGGGAAATTAAGCCTACTTAATTGCTAATATTTCAATGCTTGGTCTTATTCGCATGCAGAGAACCATCACTTGTTATTTCAGATTGTTTATATTGCGTTATGGAACAAACAATAGGTTTTAACTCCCTTCAGAGAAAACTAATAAATATGGCACATAATGTCTTTATAAACTGAAATATAGAGTTGCTGTAAATAATTAGCGATAAAAAAGAAAAATAATTCTAATATCTGAATGCATATTTAATGCATGAAGCATTCAGTTTGAGGCAACGAACAATTGCACTCTTCACCAGTGCCGTTGGTGGTCCAAACAGGAATTAAATACAGATTCTAATAAACCACTAGGCAGTACATGTTCAAAAATACCAATATATTTAATTATAAGTGCTTTAAAATCAGGAAATATGTCCTTTTGTGCAGTCATTATGCATTCATAAAATTATAGGCAGTATTTTGTGGACCATTAAATGGTAAATGGTATTAAATCAGTCTTCTATTCAGAGATACCTAAGCAATTAGTGATAAGTGGTAAAAAGAACAATAAGCAGACATTAAAAGACTGCCCCCAGACGTTCTTTGGAAAATAGTGAAAGTATTTCAGATTTTTATTTCCACTGTTCAAGTAGTTGAAAAGAAAAATTCCAACTGCTGTAAAAATGTTTAACTTTTGTTATTTTGGTTTCATAACTGAGTTTCAGCTCTCTGGTTAATTGTAGATGATATGCATGAAAGTAAATCTGGCTGTAGGTGACAACACACTCTGCTTTTAAAAGAGTTTATACAAACTTTTTTTTGTGTCTTATACTTTACATTTGCCCTTCAATCCACACAGAGCAGTGTTTGCTGTGCTTTGAAGGCATCATCATTTACAGCTTAGTTGTGTTTTTAAATTTCACACCCCAGCGAACCAAGGCTAGCATTACAGGTGTAGGTGCATTCAGTTATCATTTTGGCAGAAATTGAATTCAAAAATCCTGAAATGGTACTTTCATTTTAAAATTAATCACTTTCCCATGGTCCCTTTCACTCGGCCTATTAGGTGAATGCAAAAGCACAAGGTAAGACCTTTTCATTTTCAACATGGCAAAGGGCATTCTGATGATAAATGACTTTGGGATACTTGTTCTCATTCATGAGAGAAACAAAAAGGGCAAGGTGGGACAGCAAGGATAAAGTATATGGCTGTGAATTCAAATAGGTAGCATACAGTGCATGACTTAATTTACAATCATGCTATAGCAAAATGAGTTTAAGTGAAGATATGACACAAGGTGTAGCTTGTAACCAAGAAAATCAACTAAGAAGCAATTTAGAAACCCCTTTACCCTCATTTAGTATTTCCTTCACAACTACTGTAGTTTCTGAAGACTATGCTCACATATAGATTAAAATTCTATCCTGGTAGCTTTACCCTATTACTTTAGTCATAGCTTCTGGCCTTGATAGATGTTGATATTGTTGGAGAAATTGCAGGGTCACAAAGTCTGCTGTTCCCAAGTGTTATGAGTGCCATTTCTTACATTTTTTTTCCCAAATGCATTTCCTCATTCAACAAGATGGAAAATCTTTCTTTCGAAACTAGGATATCACATTATCTGTGTTAAGCCAGAAATGCACACTTTCACTCGAAATGTCACAGATACATGAGGTTGCTCACAGGAGAGAAAGGTCTCTAATAATCATTAAGATTATTTTTTTATTATCCCAGTTACTTTTTTATCCATTGCATAGAACAATATGACATGTGGTCACTTGAAAGACATGGCTTTTATTTTTATGGGAAATGCTAGCTAAATGAATAATACAATTGTTTAAAATGTATTTTGTTAGCTTATGCCCTACATAATATGATTTTTTTTATTAAACTTGAAGAATTGGAAAAACAATTTCCAAATTCCTAATTTGAAAAACAATGTTCATGTAAGGTCTTGAAGGATGTCATAAGATGTATGGAGGAATAATGTCATAATGAAAAACTATGTGTAGTCTTTAATTTAATTTTTCCTCCCTAAAAAAGTGTTGTGCCTATTTCATTATACTGAGATATAATTATTTGTGATTTTGAACTTTGACCCAGATTATGCACATTGTATTTTGTGGGACATAGAAGCACAAGGTGTTGGTGCTTACAAGTTTTACGTTTTTATACTTACAACTGTAGCTTAAATTTATCTTATGATTTCTGTCATCTTCAAGAAATCCACCTTGAAGAATCTCATAGCAAATATCCTGCTCCCTTTTTCATCTTTGGCTGAACATGTCATACATATCTATTTGAGATTTTCCCCACAGCTGATTTAGTGTACCAAATCTGAGAAAAAAATATGAATTACGTTTCTTTATTACTTTATGAGGTGATGCATATAATATTTAAACCCCATTTGAAGGTAAATAACATTGTACAATGTAGAAAGCCTAGGATTAGTACCTTAGAAATAATACAATATTTTCTAATTATTGATACTCTTGATTGTTTAATTCACTGATTCCCCTACAAATGTTTATTGGATATGTCTGTCTCCTGGACTTGTTCCAGTTTTAGAAAAACCTGAACACTCACTCAGCTGGGTAGCTGCAGTTTCAGGTCTGAGGTGAATGTGCAGGAGGAGTTGTTTAAATACATCAGGGGCTCTATGAGTGTTCCACACACATTTACAATCCACTTTAATGTCAATTTACCAGTTGATGCCAAAGAAGAAACACTTGTTTCCTAAATAAATCTTACTACTGTATAAACAGTGATATATTTGCAACATCCGAGCCAAATACATAATCCAGATGAAAGCATGGCCAATCGACAGCAATGGGTACTTCCCAAAAATTATATTTAAATGTGAAGCAAGTGTGTAATAAAATCTGCTTTAAAATATCTAATGACAGACATTACACCTTGCCTGAACAAGGTTGCAGCAGAGTTGCTTTCTATCTCAATCCAAATATTTTCATAAAGTTAATGGAGTGATATTGCAATGTTAATGTCTTTTTTTCAGATTTTATTTTATGTGTACTAAAGATGAAAATGAACCGTACAATCAAGCTTTAAAATGTAACATTATCTTATAAATGTTACACGTTAAATTTTACATTTTATAAAATTAATTGCAGAGTTTTTATCAAATATTGCCTTTCTTTGACTTAAAAGTGACACTTCATTAAATGTAGTTGATATTGCCAGGCAACTTAAAAGACAGTATTAGGGATCTTTAATATCACTGAGTATTAATGTAAAGATGCCGTTTATGAAGGTAGTGGTTTGGCTTCCCTCCAGACTGTTAAGTAAAATTAAGGCCCAGCAAATCGGATTATTGCGTCCCAAGAGGGAGGACCGATAGCCAGCTGATGATTGTTCATGTACTCTTAACTCTGTCTCTGTACCATGTGGGTGTTGTTAGTCAAAACCCCAATTTGTTAACATTAAGTGCTCGTTACACCACTTCCTGCTTTATAAAGAAGTTTTCTTGTTTTCCAGTTTTTATATCTTGCAATGGTTGTATTCTGAGGAGGAAAAAATGAATTATGAAACAATTTTATCCAACTGTATGATTTTTATTAATCTCATTTCCCAATAATTTATTATTAATTCACATGTACAATATCACATTTAAAGGAGTAAAACAGTATACATTAACAGATGTTAACATTTGCATGTTTTTTTTTCTTCTTGTTTTACCTTTACAGCATTTTTTTGCCATACTGTATATCTTAGATTCAGTCACCATTGAGAATTGCCCTGGCTGAGGAAAATCCACACAAAATCTCTCTCATGCAGCAGAGCAATCTGCTTTAAAGTCAAGGTAGTGCTTACACAAAGAAAAGTGTATTGTACAATGCTGGAAAGATCCTTAATGAGTGATTGCCAGGCGGTTATCAGAGGGTGCTCTGATACCCCTCCCTGCTAACGTCTCATGTCATGAATAATCAATGACACTCCATTATTATTCATGAGCTGGAATCTGTGTAGTCATGTGCATTCAAGCTGAGAGGAGGGGGAGTGTTGCCATGAACTGAGTCAAAACTCCAGTGTGTGTGATACTGAGAGGGGAAGAAAAGAGCGTGCCGCTGCACACTGGGACAGCTTCTGTTTCGAGTGAACACTGGTGTGACTGTGTGTGTCCTGTGCCAGAGTGACTGATGAGAAACTGTAGACAAGTCTGGAGGGTGATTCCCTGTCAGTTCAATTGCCTATCAGTCGTGGGGAAATTAGAAGCCTTGCTATTTTGTGCTGACTATAATGGGCTGCAATCTGTGCACTTTACAGAAAAGAGAGGATCACTACAAGCTGCTCTATGAAATTGCGCAGGTAAGTGAAATTGCTTGTGTTCCCAGTCTGTCGTTTTTGTGACATAGTTTTTAATGTTACTATCATATCTAAGTTGCTTACCGGAGAGATTGTACCCTGTCTTAGAGCAGTGAATGTCAATGCAGTTTTAACCGACTTCAGATTATACTGTCCTCACTTCAGCACTGGTCTGAGGACTTGTGGCATCTTTACCATCAAGAATTGGACATATAAGAGATTGTCACAAGAATATTTGAGCAGAAGTATATCTTACAGTTGTAATGATAAAAATACATATTTTGCTTTACACTGTAAGCTGTGCCAGCACTAAAGTTTATGCTATTTTATAATTTCTATAAAATATTAATGTTTCTTTTACATTTGAGTGTTTACTCGTATTTGTTCTGTTTTGATCATACACATTAAAACTCATTATACTGGAAATATTCTGAATCAGAATAGCTTAAGTGGATTTTTTTTCTCAGTTTGGTAACACTAAATTGACACTTTAATCATGTACACATAAACTGTATTGCTCTGTCATTTCATTAAAACACTCAGGATGGTTTCATGATTTGGTGTTGAGATACTTTGTGTTTACTGAGATAATGGAGCAAAGCTTTCCCTGCTCTTTTGATTTTCAAATTAAGAAGTGTGTGTTAGCAGTAAACTTATATACAGTAGGAATGCATACTCTGCCACTGCACCTAATAACTGATTTTGTGAACAGAATGTTCCTAACATTGCTGGTGGTCTGCAGGCTCAGCAGTAGCTAAGTGCCCACAGCTTACTCTCTTCTCTCTTTTAGAGTTTCTCTTACGTGTTTCATTTCACAGTGGGCTAATTATAGAGCAGATTTGCTACACATGAAACAGCCTCTTCCAAAGCAGTGTTAATGAACATTTTCATGGTAATGTGATCACAGCCTCATTAGCTATTTTATAAAATGATTCTGTGCATTAATTAAATGTAAAATGTCTCTTTTATTGTCACAGAGAGGAAAAAGAAGATTAACACTGTTAATTACTGCCAGGGGCGATGCTTTTTTGAGCAATCTTTATTGACTGAGAACTCAAAACGGTGGTTATGATCCCATGATATGAAATTAATAGATACCTGTATAATACCAAAAATTATATGGATGGGACACTTACCTACAAACTATCATCTAAATATCTCATTTTGATAGCATAAATTCTTTGCCTGACTGTCAAATTACTGACAGTAAACTCATTTACTTAATGAACTATCTTACTACATTAAATTATAGGACACATAAAACTGCATCTTTTGTGTGGTGTTAAATCACAAAGAATCAATCCAGCAGTTGTTGCAGTAACATAGAACTCCTCCATGTTCTATATGCTGATAGAATGGATTCTCTGGTTTTCCACAACAAAGGAGCACATCCTTATTTTTGTTTCTCTTGTTGGCAAAAGGTAACGCACTGCTAGAGATTAGGAGGTATATCTGTGGTGTATTACTTTCCTGAAGGTAAAAGATGCTTGTGAAGAAGCTGGTTCTTTCAGTTTCTGCCCTGAAATATGTCAGATAATGTCCCCCTTAATCACTGACAGAATCTCAAATTTTGCACTAAAGTAATACAACATCAGCACCCAGTTCTGCATCCTATTACTGCCTGGGTGAAGTCAGAGATAAGATATCACGAGAAAACAGCATTGCGACTTCTAAAGTAAGAGTAATCCAGGGAGCAGGCAGGTCCGTGCCAGAATTACCTCAGAGTGTCAGGGGGAATGTCTGATCAGGTACAACACCATAATGTCAGACCATGCAGCAAACAACAGCTGCCGTCAGAGCAGAAAGTGCTGTTTACATTTCTAAGTTGTGATCCTAAGCATGAGTGGATGGATCTGATATAATGAAAAAGAGAGAGCAAGCTCAAGCATTATGTTATGGTCTTGTAATTCCTAGATTGGAGTTCTGTTCCAAATACATGTCTTTCGTTTCTTGTAAATTGAAAAGACCGCTTCAAGTCTAACAGCATGACAGTCAGCATTGCAATAGGACCGAGGAACAAGACATGGTCGTGGAGGATGGTTATCCACACACTACCTTGCTTTTCACACCCAGGAACAATTTCGACACAGTTCCTGACTGCCTGACCCCTTACCCTGAGAAGATTTATGACTTTAGTGATATTGTTTGCTCCAGTAATATGACTTGTTTAACATGTATGCTCTCCTTCAGTTGACTTTGAAGAAACCCATTCCAAAAGTTTGAAACTTCTATTTTATTGTCTATTTTCCAAGGAAGAAATGCAGTGATTTTGCATTTAACAAATCTCACACTTTCATTGTGCTTTCATTTCAACTGCATATCACAATTATTTAACTCCTCAATCATTTGTCTCATTAGTCTTTTTCAAAAGGAAGTAAGGAAATGTTTTAAGGCCCTTGAGTAACATTATTGACCCCTTAAGCATACAGTATTAATGGTTTTTGGGACAATTTAGGAAATTGTAGACATTACAGAGGTATATAGAAGCTGCATGACTCTTTTTTCATTGTTTTTCTTAACGTTTCTTGTTCATTAGTCTAAATATTTTAAGGTAGTCAACTGTAGAGACTATTAATATATGCCCCTATCCAGGAACTGAGATAAAACATAAATAACGGTCATTTGGATAACTAAACAATATAACACATTACAGTTTCTAAGAAACAGCTCATTACAGATTCTGTAACAAATGTAATTCATAGAAACATTTGTAGAGACAGTACAGTTCAGTGAAGGTTTGAGATGAGTGTTAGTTTGTGACCATTAGGCCGTTCCCGGAAAATCCCAAAGAAGGCACACACAGGTACTGTATATTAAAAATACACTCAATTCAGGTCAGAGGAGTGGTCCAAGTCCAGGGCCAGATTTCTACACTTTCAAGCCTTTACACAGAGTTTTTGTTCTAGAGAGCAAGAACTATGCAGGAGGACACACAGGTTATCTCTTTACCTTCCCATTAATGGGTAATGCAAAAGTGGGTCTTTGCTGATGTAAGTTCTTACTTGATGTAAGAACATCAAGAATTGTGAAGGTTCTACTAAGTATTGTTTCAAACAATAATTAACATTTCACACTCTGATAGAGAAAAATCTAAAAGCTGAATAAATGATTCACGTAAATTAAAGGTTTTTATATTTCCTATGTGGAAGGCAATGTAGACTGTTTCAGATTCAAAAGGGCTTTGATGATTTAGGTCATATTCTTCAGTAATGAGCTTATTCAGCACTGAGATAGTTTACATTTATGAATCCTGAAAATACCTTAAATCGATTCAGTATCAATTCTATAGAGAATAGCACTTATATTGAACTGTCTAATGTCTGGAGTATAACTATTCTTGCTTCCTGAAAGCAATCTTTAATGTATTATATTCTTGACTGAGACTGCAGGTGCTGGAGTGATCCAGCAAAGTTCACTGAATTATAGTCAATGACTTGACAAACTGAGATTCATAATCTTCTGTTCACAGTGACACTTGACTATTCAAGGTAGTTCTGTGCTTTTACCACTAGGCTACACTAATGCTCAGAGCTGGAAAGGGCTAATAGCAGCCTGAACTAGGTCTTCTTTTAGAAGCTACTGTAGCTCTTTGTAAATACATTTTACAAAATGGTGTGCCATTTTTTATTTTTCTTGTCAGGTTTTTGAGCACTTGTCATTTTCATATCATAATATCCCAATTAGAAACATTCTGTCTCAACACTTTCCTGTCATGGCGTTCAAGAAAGCACGGTGTTTAAATTGCAACAGTTTTTAAAAAATCCTATTTGGACTAGACTGTGTGCATTAACAGGCAGAAACAATATCACACTGATAAATGAATGATGAGTTTGAGTTTGCAAACAGGCCAATAGAGTACAGAAGTGACCAATAATAGACTGATGAAAATAAATGGGACAGATTTATATTCTGTAAAATCACCATTCTAAGTTTACAGTGCTCTCATAAACAGAAAATAGAGTACTATGACTTCTGACAATATTTATTGGCATGTCTCCACCATGTGGGACTGAACTGTAGGATGAGAGATTGGTCCTATACTGTTTACAATAACAATATTAACTGTTAATATATAGAGTATATAATAGTGTAATGGTGGTACTTAACAAGCGTTGACGTAAAAACAATTTAGTTGTGTTGAGTTATAAAGCAATCAAATTGAAAGGAGTAATTGCTGTCAAACAGAAAATCAGTAATTACAAAAATATGTTTTTTTCTATTTAATACTGTCATTCCTATTTCTGTGATATTTGTGGCAACATGTTTCCATCATAAATAAGATTTATGGAAATAAATTAAATTAAAGCACCTTGTGACCTTTATTGGTGCCGCTCTGACAGATGATGAAAACAATGACAGAAAAGACATATATAATTGAAAATGAAATTTGATTTTTTTTTTCATTGCCACAAAGAGTGAGGCATCAGAAACAGCCTGATTTTAGCCTGAATTCTATGACCAGAATTCTGTTAATTTTCTATATTGTTGTGGTACCTTAGGCACATCATTCTGCACAAAAGTTTGAGGGAAGAACAAATGCATTGTAATTTTATATTACTGTGTTGATTAACCATCTACACAAATGTTCATATTCCTTTTGGAATCTGTCTTGCAGGAGTATTTTACTAGACCTGTGCAGTTGAACCTTTTCCACCGATGTTATCTCATCAGAAGCTTTTCTGTCTTGTGACTGTTGGCTACAAATGTACTCATCCATCTTCTTGTCCCATTACATTTTTGTGAATGATGTTCTTCGCCCATTAAAATTGATAGGAAAGAACAAAGAAAAAAGAAAAACGTGTTCCTTGATTGATTTTGTGTCTACTAGGAAGATTACACTGCAATATAATCTAGAGTTTGGAACTATTTCTAAGATGGAATGACAACAAATGTACTGTCAATATCTAGGGACATATCTTATAGTCTTTTTCATTATGATGATCTTGCTCAAAATCTCCTGTATTCTCTCTCTTTGCTAATAAGGGTGAAAATGTGTCAGTGTT